ATAGGCTACAATATCTAGCTACTCTCCTTACTGGCCTGATATAGGCTACACTATCTAGCTACTCTCCTTACTGGCCTGATATAGGCTACACTATCTAGCTACTCTCATTACTGGCCTGATATAGGCTACACTATCTAGCTACTCTCATTACTGGCCTGATATAGGCTACACTATCTAGCTACTCTCCTTACTGGCCTGATATAGACTACACTATCTAGCTACTCTCCTTACTGGCCTGATATAGGCTACACTATCTAGCTACTCTCCTTACTGGCCTGATATAGGCTACTCTATCTAGCTACTCTCCTTACTGGCCTGATATAGCCTACACTATCTAGCTACTTTCCTTACTGGCCTGATATAGGCTACACTATCTCGCTACTCTCCTTACTGGCCTGATATAGGCTACACTATCTAGCTACTCTCCTTACTGGCCTGATATAGGCTACACTATCTAGCTACTCTCATTACTGGCCTGATATAGGCTACACTATCTAGCTACTCTCCTTGTGTCATGGTATGTCCTTGTAGATAACAATGTCACAAATAAATAAATACAATTATTTATACAAAAGCTTTTTCATTATTAAAATAGGCCTACAATTTTTTATCTAAAAAAATGAACACTCACGTAATCTAATGCTAACGTCCGTTTGGATATTCAATTAATCGATTAACTGTGTGCATCCCTAGAAGGGCAGATGAGATAGTTTGACACAGAGGCAACAGTAAGACAGAGCGATTGCCTCAGAGAAAGAGAGAGAAAGAGAAAGAGAGAGATAAAGACAGAGAAGGGATCAAACTGTGATCAGCATGCAGAATGCTCTCTTTTCTCCACCCACCTTCTCTCTCCTAAACCACCCCCCACTTTCACCGCTCCCATCTTTCTCCTCCAAACCCCACTCTCTTTCACCTCATCGCGATCTCTCTCCTTTCCCCCTCCCTCTCTCTTTCCTCCACCCCTCTCTCTTCATTTATCTATATCTTCCTTGCTCTCCCATCTCTTTCTACCTTCCTCAATCCCTATATATTGCTTTCCCCCATCCCGCCCTCTCAACCTCTCCCTCCCTCCACTATGTGCAGATTAGTCTAATAGAAATGACCTATTTGAGAGAGCAAAGTGTTCCAAGCCTGATTACTCATTTACCTCCCCTTCATCCTTTTCTCACTCCACTCCTCTATTCTGCCCCCCCCCCCCCCCCCCCCCCCCCGTTTCCTCCTCTTCTCTCCATGCTTTAGAGAGTTATCCCACTGCGTTACACCACAGTGAGGCAGATTCTCTGTGACAGTTTATATGAGCCAATGGCCTCACTTAAACACCAACCAGAAACATCACTGTTGAGATGGTGGGTGAAGCAGGGGTATGTGTGTGTGTGTGTGTGTGTGTGTGTGTGTATGTGTGTGTGTGTGGATATAAAACCTATATGTAACTGAACTGTAGATGTGTGTGTGTATGTGAGCGTAAACGTGTGAAGAGACAGTACACGTGCCAGTGACAGAAACGTGTGATACGGTGATTGCCTGTGTGTGTGTGTGTGTGTGTGTGTGTGTGTGTGTGTGTGTGTGTGTGTGTGTGTGTGTGTATGTGTGTGTGTGTGTGTGTGTGTGTGTGTGTGTGTATGTGTGTGTGTGTGTGTGTGTGTGTGTGTGTGTGTGTGTGTGTGTGTGTGTGTGTGTGTGTGTGTGTGTGTGTGTGGTGTGTGTGTGTGTGTGTGGTGTGTGTGTGTGTGTGTGTGTGTGTGTGTGTGTGTGTGTGTGTGTGTGTGTGTGTGTGTGTGTGGTGTGTGTGTGTGTGTGTGTGTGTGTGTGTGTGTGTGTGTGTGTGTGTGTGTGTGTGTGTGTGTGTGTGTGTGTGTGTGTGTGTGTGTGTGTGTGTGTGTGGTGTGTGTGTGTGTGTGGGGGGGAAGCTCCTCAGTGAGGAATGCATCCAGCCCTGAGGTGATGTAATGGTTTTCCTTAGGCTCAGATCAACATGCAGAAAGAGTGGTCTGTCTTGCAGCAGCACCATACTGTGACGCAGGTAGGTGGAGGTGACAGAGGTCTCGCCATACGTCGATGAGACAATACGAGACACATTCACCACCCCTTTTACCAAAGGTGTTACTTTTTGACGCAGGTTGGCACCCTGTTTAATTTGGGGATTTTACTATAGTATGTTTGTGTGCACAAAAGCAAATGTTGTTCCACAAAGAATATACAAAGATAAATAAATAAGTCGGTATTAGCTGACCAACATGCATCAATATTTATACATATATATTCTTTTTTTTTGTAAACTGGCAGCCATTTCACTCGCAATACTTTTCCATCTGCAACGTGCTGCATTCATCCCCACTGAATGAGCAGAGGCTATTTAATATTAAATCTAAGACATGAACCTGTTTGATCCCAGGTAGATTCGACTCCCAGGGTCGAGTGAAAGACGAGAAAAATTACAGGAGAGAAATTACAGGAGTTTTTCCGTGGAGGAATGCAAGCCCTAGTGCCTAGCTCCTGACGACACTGGTCGTACCCCATCGTAGTACGGAAAGCCCCTGTCGTTCGCTGACACCATTTTTCAGCATTGAACCCTCCACATACACACCACACTCCTAACCAAGAGCGCTGCTCTGCTGTGCATACATAAACAAGGACCCTACAGTAGAACACCGACAACAGACCACTAGCAACAGCGCCCCCTTAGGCCTCTGAATGGTCACTGCAACTACAGTCCAACACTCCAAGCCAGGGGGGAAAAAAATCATATCAGCAAGGTTGGCTTTGGAATCCTCTGCACTGGGATAATAATATTATTCAGGGCTCTATCAAACCGTTTTTTGGGGGGGATATTCCATCAAAATAATGCAAACATGTTTAACACATTTGTCAACATCAACTTAACTGTTGCATTCTATAATTAAGCAATACGGCCCGAGGGGCTTTGGTATATGGCCAATATACCAGGGCTAAGGGCTGTTCTTATGCACGACGCAACGCAGAGTGCCTGGATACAGCCCTTAGCCGTGGTATATTGGCCATATACCACAAACCCCCGAGGTGCCTTATTGCTATTATAAACTGGTTACCAACGTAATTAGAGCACAAAAAATTAATGTTTTGTCATACACGTGGTATACGGTCTGATATACCACAGCTGTCAGCCAATCAGCATTCCACAAGGAACCGCTTTCACTACTGGGACAGATACAATATCTGCCATGTAGTGGCAAAACAACGGCTTGGGTAGGGTTTGAAGGATAGCTAACAACAATAATATATATATATATATATATATATATATATATATATATATATTTACTCTATCCATGCTGTTTAAGACTTCCATTCAAATAACAGGCAACATAGGTTACCATGGCTATCATTCTGCACTCTGAATGCACCAGTGAAAGTATCCAGATAAGCACTGAATAGCTACAAAACCCGGTCATACATCTCTACAAATGACTTCCAACCACTTCTGTAGAATGATGTAATCAGGGGCTGAAGAATTTGCAGGGATGGGATTATAATATTATAACGAAACTGAACATGGACATTTTCAAACGTTGTCTTACAGCGCCATGTTGTGGTCTGTCGCGTTATAGAGCCCTGTTCCACTCTTTCCAACGACATTACCAAATTATGAGGCAAACATTCAATTGATGCAGTAGAGTCTTAACCAATATAATTTTCACAAGGTCCAATATTTATTCAGAAATAAAGACAAGTAGGCAGGCAAGTAAGGTTAAAAACACATACCAAGCACGAGGATGGCATCGTCCTTCATGACGTGTTGCTGCAGTAGATGCTGGAACTTGGAGAAGTCTCCAAACCATTCAAAAGAATGTTCCGTCTTGTACCTCTCATCCCAGTAGTCCACGTCTTTATACCTTGAGTTACGGTCGGGTAGATACTCCATCCCAACGCTGTCCCTCACTGTAGACGGAATGGAATGATAACTATACACAATGTATAGAAATTAAAACATAATTGATACTTTCCTGTATAAAATGGAACATGAATTTACTGTCAGTCACCATTATGTTGTGAGTGGCATTGCTGAGTTGATGACAGAGAAATGTAACTTATTAGACTGTTGACAGTGTTATGTTATGATGACTGCCCCAGGTTGTGGCTGTGCTAGTCTAAACCAACGATAATAGCACAACGTTTTTACATACTGTACTGTCTTTGACAATAGCTATCTAGCCATACATATCTATCTATCTATCTATCTATCTACATTTCACGCTGAATCCCCATGTGACATTGTCAACTCTTATTCGCTTACGTTAGTCAGTTATGTCCTCACTTTATGCAGTTTTCATAAAAATTATTTGAATTGAAATGAAAGGAAAATATAGGCTAGCTGTTCATGTAATCATTTTCCATATTCCACGTGCTGCTCATGGGAACCGTCTGACGCTTCGCGCAAAGCATCCTTGGGAAATGATATCACCGTCCAATCACATTTGAGGAACCGACGCTACAGTGTAGCAGTGCGTAGTAGCAGGGTTAACTGTATTTGCAAATAAACCTGGCAGAAGTCTGTGACATTGCCTACTACAGTTGTAACAATGTTTTCACGTTCATTCGTTTCCGCTCCGTTTGTAATCACATGACATTCACCGTGCAAGCATACCGTTTTCATGTGTGTAAAACGACGAAGAAAGTGTTAGGCTACATTGTGACAGATTGCATGGCCCGGTGCTCCGGTTGGGTGGTGATTTCTCTTAAGGACCAATGGCACCGGCCATGCAAAACGAACTCTATTGAACAGCGCTTTTTTGATGGCCATCTAATCTGCACAGTAGACTAATATTTTGGACAGCAAAATATGTATTTAGTAGGCGCTATAATAACCATAAAGACTATTAACAACCAATTTGTGGTGTCATATTACTCTCATTGTGGTCTGAAACATATTAGTGGTTTTCTTCTCAATTGTTCTGTAAATAAGCAAACACGTTTGAACTTTTACATGTGCACTTGTAACACCACGCCTACTTCCTGGTCTTGCAGATGTTAATAGTTCACCCATTCAGTTCAAGGAATGGACAGATCTTTCCCCGATCTTGCCCTGTGTCACAGTCGAACCGTGGTGATCATTCCTTTTCTCTCGACCTTTTCTGGAGAAATTCCTTGTGCGCCATTCCTTCTTTTCAGCCCGCAGACAGCGTAACATAAATCGCAAACAATACGACGATTGGAGGTCATCTTGGAGATTTGAGAGGTAGTTTTTGAAGGGGGTTTAAACTTAGTCGTGATACTTTCTAAGCTTTATAAGTTATGCACAGTGTTCTTCTCTGCACACAAATACTAGTTGCACAATTTGTATCTCTAATGAATGGCTTTAATATAACTCGTAAGAATGTCTTCAAAGTCATTTGCATAATGCATAGAATGAGAGAAAGAGATTGTTCTTGCTCTGAACTGTATTTTTCCTACTGCATCTACAAGTCCCCCACATAATTTATTTTATCAAGTCAATACTTAAGTAGTGTTTTATTTTTCCTTTGCAGATGAGGGCCATTGGGAAAGTGTCCTTTCAATTGAAGGCGCTCAGCATATTCCCAAGTAAATTTAAATGTCAGATCCGTGGACATAGGGTATCTCGTCCTCAAAACTTTACTGGCTATGAGAGTATCAAACAACAATACAGCCCCCAGATACCTGAGTACTTCAACTTTGCAAAAGATGTGCTTGATGTGTGGGCAGAGAAAGAAAAGGTACAGTATACCTTGTTTATCTAACCTTCAACTTCCGTTGCCAGTGCTTGACTTGGATGCCAGCTCCTGCCCAAGTCAAGCACTGTCCGTTGCATAAATTGTCATGGTGGAATGAAAAAATGGTAACACTTGACTTGAACCCTCTGACTGTGACATAGTTGTTATAACTCGTAATGACGTGTTGTTATGTCAGTGTTATGACAACATCATCATGATAGCATATTTGACATATCATTCATATTGGCAGAGGGATATGTTCAGCATTAAACTTTACGGTTTCAGATTAACTAAAATGTAAATGTGAAATCACCATTGTTTATTTCAGAAAGGAGAGAAAGCATCTAACCCTGCCTTCTGGTGGGTGAATGACAGAAAGCAGGAGGTGAGGTGGAGTTTTGAGGAGCTGGGCTTCCATTCCAGAAGACTGGCCAACGTTCTGTCAGGTGCCTGTGGTCTCAACCAGCAGGACAGGGTGTTTCTGGTACTACCCAGGGTTCCAGAGTGGTGGCTCGTCAATGTGGCCTGTCTCAGAACAGGTGAGCTAGAAAAGATCTAATCAAGAATTCCAAGACTTCATAATAGATTGAATAAAGATTGCATTGTCTAGACCAGTGATATTGAAACTTTTTCAGCGGGGACACCATTTTTTTTTGCCAGAATTTCTGGGGACCCCATTTTTTTCACCAGAAATTCTGGCGACCCCACCACACCCCAAATCTTAAAATTGGTCAGTTTTGATTTTCACATCAACAAACTTCAAATCATGACATTTTAATCTCTCTAAGAGAACCAATACATACATTTACTCAATACAATTTTATTTGTCAAATTATCTTTTTCACTAACGTTTGTATATTGTTCCCATAAAATAATCTGTACTGTTAATTTTTGGTTCCCCCCAAAATAAAATAAAAACGTTTTATTTATTTTTATTTGGCGACCCCACTGAAATTCCCCCGCTACCCTGACTTTGAAAACTGTTTAGTGCAATAAATAAACTCGTAGTCCTCTCACTGTCAACTACGTTTATTTTCAGCAAACTTAACATGTGTAAATATTAGTATGAACATAACAAGATTCAACAACTGAGACATGAACAACTGAACAAGTTCCACAGACATGTAACTAACAGAAATGGAATAATGTGTCCCTGAACTAAGGGGGGTCAAAATCAAAAGTAACAGTCAGTATCTGGTGTGGCCACCAGCTGCATTAAGTACTGCAGTGCATCTCCTCCTCATGGACTGCACCAGATTTCCCAGTTCTTGCTGTGAGATGTTACCCCACTCTTCCACCAAGGCACCTGCAAGTTCCCGGATATTTCTGGGGGAAATGGCCCTAGCCCTCACTCTCTGATCCAACAGGTCCCAGACGTGCTCAATGGGATTGAGATCCGGCCTCTTCGCTGACCATGGCAGAATACTGACATTCCTGTCTTGCAGGAAATCACGCACTGAACGAGCAGTATGGCTCGTGGCATTGTCATGTTGGAGGTTCATGTCAGGATGAGCCTGCAGGAAGGGTATCACATGAGGGAGGAGGATGTCTTCCCTGTAATGCACAGCTTTGAGATTGCCTGCGATGACAGCAAGCTCAGTCCGATGATGCTGTGACACACCGCCCCAGACCATGACGGACCCTCCACCTCCAAATCGATCCCGCTCCAGAGTACAGGTCTCGGTGTAACACTCATTCCTTCGACGATATACGCGAATCCGACCATCACCCCTGGTCCACTCGTCAGTGAAGAGCACTTTTTGCCAGTCCTGTCTGGTCCAGCGACGGTCGGTTTGTGCCCATAGGCGACGTTGTTGCCGGTGATATCTGGTGAGGACCTGCCTTACAAGAGGTCTACAATCTTCAGTGCAGCCTCTCTCAGCCAATTGCGGACAGTCTGAGCACTGATGGAGGGATTGTGCGCTCCTGGTGTAACTCGGGCAGTTGTTGTTGCCATCCTGTACCTGTCCCGCAGGTGTGATGTTCGGATTTACCGATTCTGTGCAGGTGTTGTTACACGTGGTCTGCCACTGTGAGGACGATCAGCTGTCCGTCCTGTCTCCCTGTAGCGCTGTCTTAGGCGTCTCACAGAACGGACATTGCAATTTATTGCCCTGGCCACATCTGCAGTCCTCATGCCTCCTTGCAGCATGCCTAAGGCACGTTCACTCAGATGAGCAGGGACCCTGGGCATCTTTCTTTTGGTGTTTTTCAGAGTCAGTAGAAAGGCCTCTTTAGTGTCCTAAGTTTTCATAACAGTGACCTTAATTTTTGCTGAGTTTATGTTTGGGGCAATACAATACAAATAGTTTTGGAGAACAGCTGCTAAATTAGTAAACATTTCTAATATAAATGCGATACCTATTTGGTCTCCTGACCTGAACAGGAAGAACGTAGAACCTTATTTATTCCAGTCCCTTGTTATTAGCTATGGCTAGGGCCCCAAGACTTTCCTTCAGGAAAAACTCCTGTCCTTGGTGAAGTCCCATGTCTCCCACAGGAACAGTGCTGCTGCCAGGCACCTCTCAGCTGACAGCCAGGGACATCCTCCACCGGCTGCAGACCTCCGGCGCCCGCTGTGTCATCACAGACGAGTCCCTGGCCCCCCTGCTCGATGCCGTGGCCTCTCAGTGTTCCAGCCTGCAGCATAAAATACTGGTGTCCCCCACCAAGAGAGAGGGCTGGAAGAACTTTGGAGATCTGGTGAGGTAAAGATAATAACTTAGGTCAGAAATAATTCCCTAGACACCTCATAGAAAGGATCATATATTTATATATTTCCTAATTCCATTCTTTTACTTTTATATTTGTGTGTATTGTTGTGAATTGTTAGATACGACTGCACTGTTGGAGCTAGGAACACAAGCGTTTCGCTACACCAGCAATAACATCTGCTAAATATTTGTATGTGACCAATACAATTTGATTTGATTTGAATGGGCTCATAATGGCTCCAGTTCACTGTGTTTGATATATTGGTTTGGTCTATCTACACCTTGCTTGTTACTTTCAGCACCTCGGTACTGACCAAACTCTCTCCATAGGAATGCGTCCAGCGACCATGAGTGTGTGGAGACTCGCAGTGATGACCCTATGACCATCTTCTTCACCAGTGGGACCACAGGGTCACCTAAGATGACCCAACACAGCCACAGCAGCTATGGGATAGGCCTTACTGTCAACGGAAGGTAGTTCCTCCAACATTAATCTCGGTTAACCCAGATGTTTACGTAGTCTGTCCATGAGAGATTACTTCAACATAATAATAACCATAACCTTAACCACAACCAAAACCACAACACAACCATAACATAATTAGAACCATAACATAACCATAACCACACCACAACCATAACATGGGTTAAACTTAGATTGCACTGACACTAATTGCTTAGGATTTTTTGGTCATTTTATTAGGATCCGCATTAGCTGTTGTGAAAGCAGCAGCTACTCTTCCTGGGGTCCACACAAAACATGAAACATGACATAATACCCATTGAACTGAACCCTAATTGCGGTTTATCTCTGTCCTACTCCCTCCCTCCCTCCCTCCCTCCCTCCCTCCCACTCTGTCTGTGTGGAGGTACTGGTTGGACCTGACAGAGAGGGATGTCCTGTGGAACACATCCGATACAGGCTGGGCCAAGTCTGCCTGGAGCAGTGTTTTTGCCCCCTGGATCCAGGGAGCCTGTGTCTTCATCCACCATATGCCCCGCTTTGACAGTCACACTGTACTAGAGGTGTGTGTGTGTGGTGTGTGTGTGGGTGTGTGTGGTTGTGTGTGGTGTGTGGTGTGTGTGTGTGTGTGTGTGTGTGTGTGTGTGTGTGTGTGTGTGTGGTGTGTGTGGTGTGTGTGGTGTGTGTGTGGTGTGTGTGTGTGATGTGTGTGCGTGTGTGTGTGTGTGGTGTGTGTGTGTGGGTGTGTGTGTGTGTGTGTGTGTTGTGTGTGCGTGTGTGTGTGGTGTGTGTGGGTGTGTGTTGATTGTGTGGTTTGTGTGGTCGTGTGTGTGTTGTGTGTGTGTGTGTTGTGTTTGTGTGTTGTGGTTGTGTAATGTTTGTGTGGTGTGTGTGGTGTGTGTGTGTGTGGTTGTTGTGTTTGGTGTGTGTGTGGTTGTGTGGTGTGTGGTGTGTGTTGTGTGTGTGTGTGTGTGTGTGTGTGTTGCATGTGTGTGTGCATGTGTGTGTGTGTGGTGTGTGTGTGTGTGGTGTGTGTGTGCGTGTGGTGTGTGTGTGTGTGTGTGGTGTGTGTGCGTGTGTGTGTTCATACACCATATGGTCTGAAAACAACACCTATTCCCTTACCTCATTGATGTCAGCACATCTGAAGGAAGTGGATTGCTTCAGATCTGCATACACTGCATTTGACCACTAGATGGCCCTGCATGTCCATTCTCACTCCATAGAACCCCTCTCTGTGTCTTCTACTGCCTGTGTGTCCATGGCTAGGTTAATACTGAATGTAGTGGGGAAATGTTGTTATTTCATGTCATTACAGATACTGATATTTCATGTGTTTTTCTTTGAAGACTCTCTCCAGCTACCCCATATCCACATTCTGCACGGCTCCAACTGCTTATCGAATGCTAGTGCAAGAGGACATGTCCAGGTATTTGCTTCTACACTGATTAAATAATGTCCCGATTAAGATTAAAACCAAATCATTATTAACATCTGAGACATCTCTTCTTGTCAGTTATAATTTCAGCAACTTGCAGCATTGTTTGTGTGCTGGTGAGCCCATCAACCCAGAGGTGATGGGGAAGTGGAGGGATGCCACTGGACTGGACATCTACGAAGGATATGGACAAACTGAAACTGTGAGTTACGTTCGAGATGATTAAAGGTTGCACAAAGAATGGTGTCTTAGCTTCTCTGTCATTTCACTTCCAGGTACTGATAGCTGGTACTTTTAAGGGCATGAAGATCAAAGCCGGGGCTTTTGGGAAGGCTTCACCAGCGTATGATGTGCAGGTATGTGCAGTCTACAGACAACAGTGTTGAAAATTATCCAAGTCATTCATTCATGTAATGTGTGCTAAACCATCAACATTAACCAATGTGTAATCAATAAAGTTGCCAGGTTTTGATACAAACTGCGGACATTGGCAACATTTGTGTTTGTATCTCAGGTGGTAGATGAAGCCGGTAATGTCTTGCCCAGAGGAGTGGAGGGGAACCTTGGTATCAGAGTGAAACCACACAAGCCTTTTTCCCTCTTTACTGAATACACGGTATGTAAGACCACTTCACTGCAAGTCAACTAGATGCCACTTGGTCCCCCTGTCTGTTTTTTTCCAATAGGAATTGATGAAATATCCACATCATTGATTGATTGATTGATTGATTGATTGATTGACTGACTGGTCCTTCAATTTGATATTGATCTGAACCTTCTGAAATACATTGACACTTGGTTTGTTTCCTTGCATCTTAATATTGTAATATTTTTATACACCTCCATGCAGGGTGACCCTGAGCGAACAGCAGAGTGCTACGTTGGGGACTTCTACCTGACTGGGGACAGGGGCGTCATGGATGAGGACGACTACTTGTGGTTCGTGGGTCGAGCTGATGACGTCATCCTCTCAGCTGGGTAACACTACGGTCGACTTCCTGCCCGACTGGATGTGCAGGCCTTGCATTGCATCAACCAATGGTTGCGTGCCACATCATCGACTGTGCAGTTGGGAATTAGATTGCTATGTCATTATGCTGCGTTCGTAACCAAGTGGGAGGAGGGAATTTACCAGTTGTGAAGTCGTAAATACCAGTTGGATGCGTTCACGTGCTTTGAACTCGTTGAGAAACCCTGATTGGCTAATGGCCAAATAGCTGCGTAAATCATAAACTAAAAGTTCAGCTATCATGCTTGTAAACAAATGATAGTGCTCAAAAACTATATTAATAAATTGTTTTGTTGTTGCATTTAACTGCCGAAAATGCTGTTATCGAGGTAATTTCCTTAGTAGGTGAGGTCAGAGGTAACCATGTGGAAGTAGTGGGAGCGCAGGATCATAGTCAGTTTCCCACTAGTAATTACCAGTTGGAGGGCCGTTCAAGTGGATTTTTCCCAGTTTTATGTGTAAATTCCCACTTTCCTCTTGGTTACAAACACAGCATTAGTTGACATGTTAAATACCTATCCAGGCGTTGTAAGATCTACCATGTGTCAGCAATGTAGTCGGGCAGGAACTCAACCTATATCTATGGGGCACAAATGTCAATTGAAAGTTCTTCTCAATCCATGAGTAAGCTCAATCTGAGTCTGGGAAACTGGACAACAATGTTTAGTTGACTATCGCCCTATTGGCACGGGACTAGTATTACTAGAGAACGTTGGTTATGTAATTATTACTCCAGAATGTCCGTAATTCCAGAGGACGATTCGGACGGGATTCGTTTTTTCCAAACTGCCGGCTGTAATGATTACTTTTATGACGGAAGCCTGGAGTTTTTATTCTAGTCGTGAAGATACAGTATTTCAACATGTCCAGGTGATCGGGCCACACTGATAACTCCAGCTTGGTTCCCAAGTTTCTAAACCATACCCAACCATCTTTGGTATAGTGTCGCCATAATATTTGAATTGAGGAAGTGTGATCATAATCATTAGGATATTTTAGCGATCCGCAGTACGTCCTAAATGCCCCCCATCCTTCAGATGTGAGCTAATCAGTGCACTTGCACCTGAGATCCATTTTAAGGCTATGGATGAGAAAGTTAACATATAATTTCCAAACGTTTAGGTCAGTTGTATGCTGCTTTGCGATCTATTAACAGCAAGGGTTGCATTAAATAGCCGCAATATATTTTTTGCACAAAACATATTTAAAAAAGCATTCACTGTGTAAGTTTGTATTTATTATGGATCCCCATTAGCTGCTGCCAAGGCAGCAGCTAGTCTTCCTGGGGTCCGGAAGAATTAAGGCAGTTATACATTACAATACATTCATTACAGAATTCACAACACACTAAGTGTGTGCCCTCAGGCCCATACTCCACTACCACATATCTACAACACAAAATCCATGTGTACGTGTGTGTATAGTGCGTATGTTATCGTGTGTGTGTATGTATGTGTCTGTGCCTATGTTTGTGTTGCTTCACAGTCCCCACTGTTCCATAAGGTGTGTTTTAATCAGTTTTTTAAATCTAATTTTACTGCTTGCATCAGTTACTTGATGTGGAATAGAGTTCTGTGTAGTCATGGCTCTATGTAGTACTGTGCGCCTCCCATAGTCCGTTATGGACTTGGGGACTGTGAAGAGACCTCTAGTGGCATGTCTTGTGGGGTAAGCATGGGTGTCTGAGCTGTGTGCTAGTTGTTTAAACAGACAGCTCGGTGCTTTCAACATGTCAATACCCCTCACAAATACAAGTAGTGATGAAGTCAATCTCTCCTCCACTTTGAGCCAGGAGAGATTGACATGCATATTATTCATATTTGCTCTCTGTGTACATCCAAGGGCCAGCCTTGCTGCCCTGTTCTGAGCCAATTGCAATTTTTTGTGGCACCTGACCACACGACTGAACAGTAGTCCAGGTGCGACAAAACTAGGGCCTGTAGGTCGGACCTACCTTGTTGATAGTGCTGTTAAGAAGGCAGAGCAGCGCTTTTTATGGACAGACTTCTCCCCATCTTAGCTACTGTTGTATCAATATGTTTTGACCATGACAGTTTACAATCCAGGGTTACTCCAAGAAGTTTAGTCACCTCATCGTGCTCAATTTCCACATAATTTTTTACTAGATTTAGTTGAGGTTTAGGGTTTAGTGAATGATTTGTCCCAAATACAATGCTTTTAGTTTTTGAAATATTTAGGACTAACTTATTCCTTGCCACCCATTCTGAAACTAACTGCAGCTCTTTGTTAAGTGTTGCAGTCATTTCAGTTGCTGTAGTAGCTGACATGTATAGTGTTGAGTCATCCGCATATATAGACACACTGGCTTTACTCAAAGCCAGTGGCATGTCGTTAGTAAAGATTGAAAAAAGTAGGGGGCCTAGACAGCTGCCCTGGGGAATTCCTGATTATACCTGGATTATGTTGGAGAGGCTTCCATTAAAGAACACCCTCTGTGTTCTGTTAGACAGTTAACTCTTTATCCACAATATAGCAGAGGGTGTAAAGCCATAACACATACGTTTTTCCAGCAGCAGACTACGATCGATAATGTCGAAAGCCGCACTGAAGTCTAACAAAACAGCCCCCACAATCTTATTATCATTAATTTCTCTCAGCCAAGCATCAGTCATTTGTGTAAGTGCTGTGCTTGTTGAATGTCCTTCCCTATAAGCTGAAAAGTTGATACATGTAGGCCATTAATATATAGCTTATGTGCAGCACTTCGTTCAATTTATCCAATCAGTTATCGTTTTCTTGCTCAAACCGCGAACGAGCAACACCTGTCAAACTCAGACATTTCTCTCAAAACACAGGTATATCGATTCGCACAGGACTAGCATTACCAGAGGACCTTGGTGTTCGCCAAAAAACAGTAGGTTATTCTGGCTGGAATTGTTACTCACCTTCCATGTAAAAATTACTGACATGGCAGAATCGGACGGGACTAAAATTACAGATGTGGTGTTTTGTGCTCGTGAACATAATTACATTACCTCCCCCAGTAAAACTAATCCTGTCCGAATAGGGCTAAAGTTTGGGTTGGTTGTTTAGGTACCGTATTGGTCCATTTGAGGTGGAGAACGCTTTGATTGAACACCAGGCTGTGGCTGAGTCAGCCGTGGTCAGCAGCCCTGACCCTATCAGAGGAAAGGTACAGTATGGATGGATCAATCAAATCCATTAAAGGAATAGGTCATCCTCACCCAAAATCAAAGCTTGTCAGATGATTTCAGAGCTCAAGTTGTTAAAGTCCATAGTCAAGCTAAGTCCATATTTTATGCTATCTTGTTGTTTAGATCTCTATAAATGAACCTATATTGGCCTCAATCCCAAAATGATTTGTAGCGATTGCACTATAATTCCAGTGAATCTTTCCGTCCATCTTTCCAGGTTGTGAAGGCGTTTGTTGTTCTAACAGCAGAGTACAAATCTCAAGATCAAGATCAACTTAAGAAAGAGTTACAGACGTATGTGAAGAAAGTTACTGCACCGTACAAGTATCCACGCAAGGTAATTGTTATTATTTTGTAAAGATACTTATCATTGAAAAAAGGTTGATCAATATCTATTAGGCAAAATAAGGTATTTAGACTTTTCTCCTCTTGACAGATAGAGTTTGTGGAACAGCTACCAAAGACAGTCAGTGGTAAAATCAGAAGAGTGAAGCTAAGGAACAAAGAATGGGGACGATCCTGAATCGTTTGAGGATAATCTGTTGTACAGTCTTATTGGAACTGTGAAGAGAAGGTTTAAAACGTTTATCAAATCGCACCGTCTTTTCTTACTAGCACCGACTTTTCTTACTAGCACCGTCTTTTCTTACTAGCACCGACTTTTCTTACTAGCACCGACTTTGCTGATAACTACTTAATTGAGGAAAAATGTACTTACTGTGATATGTGGTTGTCTCACACTATCTTATGATGAATGCACAAACTGTAAGTTGCTCTGGATAAGAGTGACTGGTAAATTACTAAAATGTAAATGTAAAATGAATCAAAACATCTGTGAAATGAATGGCACATGCCATTTTCTATTTGTCTCCATCATTGCATGATTAGCTACTTCACATTGGTATGAATGAGAAAAACTTTAACAATAAACTTTTGATTCAGTATATTACAGCACTGTGTGCGTACGAGCATGTGTTTTTCTGTGAACAGCAGCAGTGATTTACTAGACAAATTAAGGCCCAAAGCAAAGTGATAATATTGAGAAAATAAACATCTATTTCTGTACAAACCTGTTTTGGTTATCCCATGATCCTCTGAGGTCTTCTACTGAAGATTCTAGTTCTCTACATGTTCTTCTTCATACACTTTTTGGTGTTGATGACAGTGTGCAGTCCAGGTATTGTGTGACGTCTATGTAGACCCCTGGAGACTGGACCATACCACAGCCCATGCCCCAGGACACCACCCCTAACAGCATGGTACGACACACCAGAGGCCAACCTGAGTCCCCCTAGAGAAGAGAGAGAGAGACACCAGTCCTGTTTGAATACTTTAAGGTGATGTAGAGTTGAAGTCGGAAGTTTACATACACCTTAGCCAAATACATTTAAACTCAGTTTTTCACAATTCCTGACATTTAATCCTAGTAAAAATTCCCTGTCTTAGGTCAGTTAGGATCACCACTATTTTAAGAATGTGAAATGTCAGAATAATAGTAGAGAGAATGATTTATTTCAGCTTTTATTTATTTCATCACATTCCCAGTGGGTCAGAAGTTTACATACACTCAATTAGTATTTGGTAGCATTGCCTTTAAATTGTTTAACTTGGGTCAAACGTTTCGGGTAGCCTTCCATAAGCTTCCCACAATAAGTTGGGTGAATTTTGGCCCATTCCTCCTGACAGAGCTTGTGTAACTGAGTCAGGTTTGTAGGCCTCCTTGCTCGCACACGCTTTTTCAGTTCTGCCCACACATTTTGTCAGGGGTCAGGGCTTTGTGATGGCCACTCCAATACCTTGACTTTGTTGACCTTACGCCATTTTGCCACAACTTTGTAAGTATGCTTGGGGTCATTCTCCATTTAGAAGACCCATTTGCGACCAAGCTTTAACTTCCTGACTGATGTCTTGAGATGTTGCTTCAATATATCCACATAATTTTCCTTCCTCATGATGCCATCTATTTTGTGAAGTGCACCAGTCCCTCCTGCAGCAAAGATGCTGCCACCCCCGTGTTCTTCGGCTTGCAAGCCTTCCCCTTTTTCCTCCAAACATAACAATGGTCATTATGGCCAAACAGTTCTATTTTTGTTTAATCAGACCAGAGGACATTTCTCCAAAAAGTACGATCTTTGCCCCCATGTGCAGTTGCAAACCGTAGTCTGGCTTTTTTATGGCGGTTTTGGAGCAGTGGCTTCTTCCTTGCTGAGCGGTGTCGAGCGCTGTCGATATAGGACTCGACCTGTTTCCTCCAGCATCTTCACAAGGTCCTTTGCTGTTGTTCTGGGATTGATTACTTGTGTCATGCACAAAGTAGATGTCCTAACCGACTTGCCAGAACTATAGTTTGTTAACAAGAAATTTGTGGAGTGGTTGAAAAACGAGTTTTTATGACTCCAACCTAAGTGTATGTAAACTTCCGACTTCAACTATACGTCTTTTCTCTTTACTCTAGTTGCTAATCTGTTGGTCATTATCTAAGTGGAAGCAAGACTTCCTATCTTATCTCAATCAGTCCATCCTTCTCAGGGACCGGACCAATCCTTGACTCAAACTGAGTTTCCCTGTGTGTGAGTGGCCTGTACCTTGATCAGCGTGATGTCATGGTTGATGACACAACTGGCTTTGTACGACATTGATCTGTAGATACGGCCCTCCAGAATCCTTTGACCCCTCACCAACGAACCTACACTGCCCAGGTCCACCGTCATCCTGGAGGGTATTTGGGTTTGGGGAAAAGCATATCAGACTCTATAGGGACTTGGAAAGTTAAGCTTGAACCAATAACCCAGCATTTAAAGGGCAAGCACACTGCCTCCTGTGCCATAAATTTCAGACCTCTTGGCAGGGGCCATACATTGCTGTACAGACAGGCTCACTGTATATAGCAGTACGCAGCAGAGAGGACCCAATGCGGATGAATCAGGGCTCCACCGCACAGGGAGGTTTTCACACGGAACAAGCTGACTGCAATTACTGGGTTAAAGAAGCCTTGTCAGAGCTGTGATGTGATTGACGTCTCAATGGATATTTCATTACTTTAAGTTTACACCATGTTACCTTTTAGCCTAATGTCAGTTTCAGATGTATGTTCAGAGAGCCACAGGCTAGTGTGAGTTTGATTAGTAATAATGGGTTGTGCTGTGCATGATGGAACTGTTATGTAGACTACAGGTTTGGAATGAGAGAGAATACAGATTCCTGCTGAGCCTGTAATGAAAAAACTAGACCTGAATAGCAATAGCACAGCCTTTTCTCTCAGTCGGACTCCAGATTAATCATTTGCTATAGATTTCTTAGCCAGCAGATCCGACCTGCTTGCTTACAGCTGTACTGGGGTCTGGCAGGCTTCCTGTGTGGATTAAGACATCTTGGAGCTGGTGTGAGATATGGCTTGGAAAACGTACTTCAATCTAGGGATAAGAAATGCGTTGTACTCCGAATTGTCCCATTATCCCAACTGAAAGACTGAGAAGATTGAACGTCTGCTAGCTGTCTTACGTAACCATACCAAACATAATATATCATACTAATTTGAGTGTCTCGGATTCACGTTTACTATGTTACGTCTAGTCTATGATGACAGCTTTTCGATAGCGCTCTAGCTGCTCCGCTCCATCCTGGCATTCCGGAGCCGTGGCATGGAGACAGCACGCTCGCGCAGGTTTCCAGGAACGGCCACACACAAGGCGGCACTTCTGAATGCAGCTAACGTTGGATTTGTTTTGTTTGATTAAATGTTCCTTATTATATTTTTTTCCCATTTTCTTTGATTAGTCTATTACTTTTTTTATTCGAACCAAATCGCCATGGCTTGGCCATGCATAAGCAGAGTGTGCTGTCTGGCTCGGTTTTGGAACCAGTTTGATAAATCCGATCTTTCATTGCCACTGACCAACCATAACTACTCAGACATCGCAGACCAAGAGGTGCGATCCGTCACCAGGCATGTACCGACGGACCGGGTTCTGACGCACAACTATTCCACCCCGGACCACCGCGGATCCCCCCAGACACCGGGAGATGCCCCGGGGACCCGGAGATCATTGAGAGGCCGGAGGGAAGCCAACTTCAAACCCCGGGAGGACTACCATCGACCCGGCGTGCCGTTCTCCAGTGTCACCCAGTACAAGCAGGATTACAAACCCTGGCCTATTCCGAAGAAGGAGAATTTCCCCTGGATTAGCAATTGCGGAAAAGGTGGCAACGTTGGTTCGGATAGCCCAGTAAACAGTTACCCCAATGCGAGCCAGACGAGAGGGGACAGGGGGGAGAGGGAGAGAGAGGAGCTGGGCATGAGGTGGGGGGAGCAGGGGACGGGAACAGCTAAAAGCTCTTACAGGTAGGCTCCATCACTCTGACGCTGTCCTTTCAGAACCATTCTGTTTCTTTCATTTCAGCACCTGGAGCTGTCCACTCACTCATAAACTATTGATAACTGCGCTCTAACCTAACGATTTCATTAGTCTGCTTCAAGTTATTTTATTCATGATGCACTGTCTGAAATTCGTTAAATCATTTTTATTCATGTACCGTGGGCTATTGGCCCAAATGTAATTTGCAGTATGTATAATTATGCAATACCTTTTGAACGGAAATTGCCACCAGGCTAGGTCTTGCAGTTCAGTGTGTGTGTGTGTGTGCATGCGTTCGCGCGACATAAATTGGATGCATTAAGTGTCATGCTACAGAAATAACCAATAGCTTTGATCTGGACAGTAGGCTGCTGCTAAGATAGAAACACAGCAAAACGCTTTAAATTATTAATAAACACATTTTTTATCCCCCCTGTTGGACACACATTTTATATCCCCCCTGTTGGACACACATTTTATATCCCCCCTGTTGGACACCCATTTTATATCCCCCCTGTGTTGGACACACATTTTATATCCCCCCTGTTGGACACACATTTTATATCCCCCCTGTGTTGGACACACATTTTATATCCCCCCTGTTGGACACACATTTTATATCCCCCCTGTGTTGGACACACATTTTATATCCCCCCTGTTGGACACACATTTTATATCCCCCCTGTTGGACACACATTTTATATCCCCCCTGTTGGACACACATTTTATATCCCCCCTGTGTTGGACACACATTTTATATCCCCCCTGTTGGACACACATTTTATATATCCCCTGTTGGACACACATTTTATATCCCCCCTGTTGGACACACATTTTATATCCCCCCTGTTGGACACACATTTTATATCCCCCCTGTTGGACACACATTTTATATCCCCCCTGTGTCAGACACACATTTTATATCTCCCCTGTTGGACACACAATTTATATCCCCCCTGTTGGACACACATTTTATATCCCCCCCTGTTGGACACACATTTTATATCCCCCCTGTGTTGGACACACATTTTATATCCCCCCTGTTGGACACACATTTTATATCCCCCCTGTGTTGGACACACATTTTATATCCCCCCTGTTGGACACACATTTTATATCCTCAACATCATCATTAACAGAACCCACCCCCGGTACCGCTCTGCTCGAACCCCAATGGACACCATTATCCTTTATCGATGATAAACCTGATTAGTTCGTTCATGCTTTGGTTGGTCCAATTTACACAACAGTACATCATTTGCACACTTTTCTATGTAAAATAGCCTACAGTATAGAGAGCATAAAGCCAATGGATAAAACTTTTGCAGTGTTGGTCAAAGAAAAATTATTTTCAGACCGTGGGAGCTCTCTTACACTTCCATCCCTCCTCCTTGTAGACAGGAGTACCGGCCGTGGACGGGGGCAAGACCAGCCAAGACCACTAGGAAACAACGCCCCCCTGCCCCGTACGCCAGCCCCCGGTCGGGGGTTTCCCACCTCCCCAATGAGACCAGCTACCAGGCCGCCTACAGCGGAGCCGGGGAGGCTTTCAGACACACAGAGCTTCACCAGAGGGACCATAATACCACCACCTCCTCCGCCGGGCTGCTGACCACCACCTCCATCTCCACTGTCCCCCAGACCACTGTAACCCTGCTCCAGCTCTCCTCCACCACTACCACCCCTATCACCACCACCGGCCTCCAGCAGAGCAGCCTGCCAGAGAGACCCAACCTCAGTATAGGGACCATGGGAGAGGTGAGACAGAGGACTTCGGTTTTTGAGTTTCACAGTTTCAGGGCATAAATCCAGCTTTTTCAATGTTATTCAAAATGGGTCGAATCCTTGAGATGAGCAAAGTGTTAGTAGTGGTATCTCGTTCTGTAGAAGTAATTGTACAAATCTGTGATGACGCCCCCTATTCCTTAGATAGTACTATTTCTGACCAAAGGGAAAGCCACTTGAAAGACATAGACACTGTAAAGACACAAAGACACTGTGTGGGGAATATAGGGTAAGGGTGGGGTTTGGGACATAGCCATTGTTCCAGCCAGGTCCCAGGTGTTCCCAGTGGTGCTGAGGCATCTCTAAGAGGTGATACTGTGATCCTGTTCTGTCCTAAAGCTGCTCAATGTGGCCCAGCTGTTTCAGACTATGACGCAAACTGCCAGGCCTATGACATTGACCTGGTTAGAGCAGAGCAGGCATTACATGCAGAGAAAAGAAGGTCAATAGTATTTAGACATTTGGGCAATTAGGATTTTGGATGAGAGAGAGATTAGAGAGAGAGGAGAGAGAGAGAGAGAGCGATAATAGATAGAGCGAGTTCGCTAGCGAGAGCTGACGAGATGCAGAGAGCGCTCAATAGATAGAGATCGATAGCTCGCTTCTCTAGCAGCGAGTACTATAGCGCTAATCTCTCGCGAGCAGCTCTGCTCTCTCTGCTTCTCCTCTAGAGCGCGCTCTCTCCTCTCGCTCTCTCCTCTCTCCTAGAGCAGGCGAGCTGTACCTTTCCTGTTTTGATCCCCGCCCCCCTGTCCTCTCCCTGGTAGCTCAGAGCAGACGTTGTGTGACAGGGAGTGGAACTCTTTAGGGAATGTCCTGGGGTTTAATGACACCCCCCCCTTCCCCGCCCCGCTTCTCTGTCTGCCAGCGGAGAGTAGAAGAGAACGGACTGAACCGACTCGGCTTTCTGCTTTCACTCACTGTCATCTACGCCAGAGAGTTTGTCACAGATTAGAGAAAGAATAAACTCCTGCACACTGCTTGCTAGGAATGTTTTGGTTTTAAATATAATAACAAAAAGTGAAACTTTGAAAGCAAGCAGTGTGGAGGAACTGTCCCCGCGTAGCTGAGTGTTAGTGATGTGGATGTGCCAGTACATCTCTTCTCAGAATCAGAGAGAAAAAAGAGAAAAGAGTGAAAAAGATTATCTTCGGTCAGTTCAAACTTTCTTCCGATGTTCTTTGGGAAGATAACATTTTCTAAAAGCAGAAACATACTCCACTATAGCTTCCCAAAAAGCCACAATTAAAGTTATTCAACTTTTTGACCATTCACATGGGAGAACATGTTTTAGCCTCCAAATCAGATGTAGAATGCCAGTGCCTAGCCATTCTAAGCCAGATGTTGTAGAATGCCAGTGCCTAGCCATTCTAAGCCAGATGTTGTAGAATGCCAGTGCCTAGCCATTCTAAGCCAGATGTTGTAGAATGCCAGTGCCTAGCCATTCTAAGCCAGATGTTGTAGAATGCCAGTCCAATAGTGTTTGACAGGCCACCGGGTTTAATATGAGACATGTCATCTGTAGGTCATAGTCTATTAATAACCATGGCCCAGAAATCAGTGTGAGATGTGTGTATGTGTGTGTTCAGCGTGAGATGTGTGTATGTGTGTGTTCAGCGTGAGATGTGTGTATGTGTGTGTTCAGCGTGAGATGTGTGTATGTGTGTGTTCAGCGTGAGATGTGTGTATGTGTGTGTTCAGGGCGCATGCAGGGAAAGGTACAACTCTACAGTTGGCTGCGATGTAAGAGCTATTTTTAAAAAAATCGGGTGCAAAGGATTTAACTCCTGCCCTGAAAAGTAGACATTAGATACCAAACTACAGGCTATCTGCTATGGTCATCATATTGGACCCCTCAACCATCAACCATCAACCAAACCCTACCTCAGTGTACCTCCCCTCTACCTACTGACAACAACCTAGTGCTCTATTGTTTTTTATCCGTCGCCGAGCAATCTGCCAACACCACGCAAAACCCAGAGGATCGATATTAAACAATCCAGTCCAAGACCCCACACACTGCCAAGTCATTTCTGACACCCCCAGAGCACTCTGATGCAGCACTCCATCACTCTCCTTCTTGGTAAAATAGCCCTTACACAGCCTGGAGGTGTGTTGGGTCATTCTCCTGTTGAAAAGAAAATGATAGTCCCACTAAGCCCAAACCAGATGGGATGGCGTATCGTTGCAGAATGCTGTGGTAGCCATGCTGGTTAAGTGTGCCTTGAATTCTAAATAAATCACAGACAGTCACCAGCAAAGCACCCCCACACCATAATACTTCCTCCTCCATGCTTTACGGTGGGAACTACACATGCGGAGATCATCTGTTAACCCACATCGCGTCTCACAAAGACACAGTGGTTGGAACCAAAAATCTCAAATTTGGACTCCAAACCAAAGGACAAATTTCCACCGATCTAATGTCAATTGCTCGTGTTTCTTGGCCCAAGCAGGTCTCTTCTTCTTATTTGTGTCCTTTAGTAGTGGGTTCTTTGCAGCAATTCGACCATGAAGGCCTGATTCACACAGTCCCCACTGAACAGTTGATGTTGAGATGTGTCTGTGACTTGAACTCTGTGAAGCTTTTATTTGGGCTGCAATTTCTGAGGCTGGTAACGCTAATGAACTTATCCTCTGCAGCAGAGGTAACTCTGGGTCTTCCATTCCTATGGCAGTCCTCATGAGAGCCAGTTTCATCATAGCGCTTGATGGTTTTTGCGACTGCACTTGAAGAAACTGTCCATATTAACTGACCTTCATGTCTTAAAGTAATGATGGACTGTCGTTTCTCTTTGCTTATTTGAGCTGTTCTTGCCATACTATGGACTTGGTCTTTTACCAAATAGGACTATCTTCTGTATACCCCACCTACCTTGTCACAACACAACTGATTGGCTCAAACGCATTAAGAAGGAAAGAAATTTCACAAATTAACTTTTAAGAAGGCACGCCTGTTAATTGCAATGCATTCCAGGTGACTACCTCATGAAGCTGGTTGAGAGAATGCCAAGAGTGTGCAAAGCTGTCATCAAGGCAAAGGGTGGCTACTTTGAAGAATCTCAAATATAAAATATATTTTGATTTGTTTAACACTTTTTTTGGTTACTACAGTGGGGAAAAAAAAGTATTTAGTCAGCCACCAATTGTGCAAGTTCTCCCACTTAAAAAGATGAGAGAGGCCTGTAATTTTCATCATAGGTACACGACAACTATGACAGACAAAATGAGAAAACAAAATCCAGAAAATCACATTGTAGGATTTTTAATGAATTTATTTGCAAATTATGGTGGAAAATAAGTATTTGGTCCATAACAAAAGTTTCTCAATACTTTGTTATATACCCTTTGTTAGCAATGACACAGGTCAAACGTTTTCTGTAAGTCTTCACAAGGTTTTCACACACTGTTGCTGGTATTTTGGCCCATTCCTCCATGCAGATCTCCTCTAGAGCAGTGATGTTTTGGGGCTGTCGCTGGGCAACACAGACTTTCAACTCCCTCCAAAGATTTTCTATGGGGTTGAGATCTGGAGACTGGCTAGGCCACTCCAGGACCTTGAAATGCTTCTTACAAAGCCACTCCTTCGTTGCCCGGGCAGTGTGTTTGGGATCATTGTCATGCTGAAAGACCCAGCCACGTTTCATCTTCAATGCCCTTGCTGATGGAAGGAGGTTTTCACTCAAAATCTCACGATACATGGCCCCATTCATTCTTTCCTTTACACGGATCAGTCGTCCTGGTCCCTTTGCAGAAAAACAGCCCCAAAGCATGATGTTTCCACCCCAATGCTTCACAGTAGGTATGGTGTTCTTTGGATGCAACTCAGCATTCTTTGTCCTCCAAACACGACGAGTTGAGTTTTTACCAAAAAGTTCTATTTTGGTTTCATCTGACCATATTACATTCTCCCAATCCTCTTCTGGATCATCCAAATGCACTCTAGCAAACTTCAGACGGGCCTGGACATGTACTGGCTTAAGCAGGGGGACACGTCTGGCACTGCAGGATTTGAGTCCCTGGCGGCGTAGTGTGTTACTGATGGTAGGCTTTGTTACTTTGGTCCCAGCTCTCTGCAGGTCATTCACTAGGTCCCCCCGTGTGGTTCTGGGATTTTTGCTCACCGTTCTTGTGATCATTTTGACCCCACGGGGTGAGATCTTGCGTGGAGCCCCAGATCGAGGGAGATTATCAGTGGTCTTGTATGTCTTCCATTTCCGAATAATTGCTCCCACAGTTGATTTCTTCAAACCAAGCTGCTTACCTATTGCAGATTCAGTCTTCTCAGCCTGGTGCAGGTCTGCAATTTTGTTTCTGGTGTCCTTTGACATCTCTTTGGTCTTGGCCATAGTGGAGTTTGGAGTGTGACTGTTTGAGGTTGTGGACAGGTGTCTTTTATACTGATAACAAGTTAAAACAGGTGCCATTAATACAGGTAACGAGTGGAGGACAGAGGAGCCTCTTAAAGAAGAAGTTACAGGTCTGTGAGAGCCAGAAATCTTGCTTATTTGTAGGTGACCAAATACTTATTTTCCACCATAATTTGCAAATAAATTCATAAAATGTCCTACAATGTGATTTTCTGGGTTTTTTTCCTCAATTTGTCTGTCATAGTTGATGTGTACCTATGATGACAATTACAGGCCTCTCTCATCTTTTTAAGTGGGAGAACTTGCACAATTGGTGGCTGACTAAATACTTTTTTTCCCCACTGTACATTATTCCATATGTGTTATTTCATAGTTTTGATGTCTTCACTATTATTCTACAATGTAAAAAATAGTAAAAATAAAGAAAAACCCTAGAATGAGTAGGTGTGTCCAAACCTTTGACTGGTATTATATATTTTTTTTAAATTAACAATACCCTTACAGTTAAGAAAGATGCCTAGCAGTCTACAAGCCATTTATTTCCTCTGTCTCTGGTAAACATTTAGGCATAATATTCTGTAGTTCCATCATGTCTAGTGAGAGTGTTTTCTCCTATGAGACATTTTAAGAACCTTGCAGAGATTTTTTTAGCTGCTGGAGGACATGGCTTGAGCTTTTCTATGTGATAATAAGAGAGAGTTTCTGCTTTGTACTAAAACAGATGAACGTTCAGGAATGGGGATGTGGTTTACAATGGGTTAAAGTGCATAACAAGAGGATAAACCAAAGCATCATGCTAATCACACCCCTTTGCACCCCTTTACTCTCTCACTCGCTGTCTTTTCACCCTCCCTCCCTCCCTCACCCGCTCTCCTTTCACCCTCCCTCCCTCTCTTGCTTTCCTTACACCCTCCCTCCCTCACCCGCTCTCCTTTCACCCTCCCTCCTCTCCGCTTTCCTTCAACCCTCCTCAACACGTCTCCTTACCTCCCTCCCTCACCGCTTCTTTCAGCCCTCCCTCAACCGCTCTCCTTTCAACCCTCCCTCCCTCTATCAAAGCTCCTTTAACCTCCCTCCCTCCTCCATACCTCACCTTTCACCATCCTACCCTCTTGATGTACATTCACCCTCCCTCCCTCATACGATTTCTTTCACCCCTCCTCACCCGCTCTCCTTTCACCCTCCCTCACCCACTCTCCTTTCACCCTCCCTCCCTCTATCGCTCTCCTCTTTTTATTGTCTCTCCTGTCTCCCTCTCACTCACTGTTCTATTAAATGTGAACTTTTCCCTTTTCCCACGATGCATCTGACTACAGGCACGGTCATTAGCCAAACCAACAGGGAGGGAGAGAGAAAGTCAGAAAGAGCGAGGATGGATGGAAAGGTGGAGAGAGAGAGAGAGAGACGAAGAGAGAGAGAGAGAGAGAGAGAGAGCAGAGAGAGAGGAAAGGGTGAGAGGAGAGGAGAGAGAGAGGAGAGAACGAGGGTTGGATGGAAAGGGTGAGCGGAAGAGAGAGAGAGAACGAGGGATGGATGGAAAGGGTGAGCGGAAGAGAGAGAGAGTGAGCAAAAATTGATTATTTGCCATTTTGTTAAAGTGTGATGTGATGCAGTGGGTGGCAGACTTTTCAGCGTGAATCTAATTTAGGAGAGGCAGACCTGGCTGCTGTACCGAGTGGAATAGAGTTTGGGTTGGAGGAGGGAGGAGGAGGGAGGAGGAGGGAGGAGGTGAACACACACCCACGGATACACAGCGACACATAAACACATAGGCAAACAGACTCTGAAGCACACGCACACGCAAAAACAATTTTTGAAGCCGCAGTTTGACAGACACAGCCTCTCATCCAGCAAATAGTCATATTCTATTTTTTCATTGGCCCAAGAGGCTGTTACTGAGACTACAGACCTACAACTTTGAAAAATACGCTTTGATCTCAAGTCAAACTCTGCCAAGCACACCTTCCATTGTACCACTACTGGTCAACTGCATTGGAACAGTTAGATCCATATCTAAACATCATATCAAGCCTAGAACATCCCACTGGGCACAGACGTCAATTCAATGTCTATTCCACGTTGGTTCAATGTCATTAAAAGGATGAGGAAACAATGTTGATTCAACCAGTGTATGCCCAGTGGGATGTTACTTGATGGATGCAGCATGCAAACTTCCTTTCAGGGTCGAGTGAAATTCCATTATTGTAAGCTAAATAGGTTCCGGCTGGATGTTCTTTCAGAAAGTCTGGCATCAGCAGCATTTTGCAGTGATGAATTCTGTCTACTAGTCCACTGACAGCAGTGGTGAATTCTGTTTACTAGTCCACTGACAGCAGTAATGAATTCTGTCTACCAGTCCACTGACAGCAGTGATGAATTCTGTCTACTAGTCCAATGACAGCAGTGATGAATTCTGTCTACCAGTCCACTGACAGCAGTGATGAATTATGTCTACCAATCCACTGACAGCAGTGATGAATTCTGTCTACCAGTCCACTGACAGCAGGCCTATGCACTATGTCTGCACAGCCAATCAAGTCACCTCTCATATAGCATATCTCCTGTTTGAACAGCACAAGACCTGTATTGCCTGTGGTCATCTTTCAGTAACCCATGTCTTGTTTGTGTTATTGCAGGAGCAGTTGGTGAGGACTAAGCTCTCTCCCAACCCCTCTGCGGTGTTTCAAAGCAGATCCAGGATCTTCAACATATGACAGACTCTCCAGACTATTCTACTGGTTACCAGGAGACAAAAGAACCAATGAGGGGAATGTTCTCTGTCCATTCCACACTACAACAAAATCTATGCAGGGAATGTACAGCTTAATGTAACCAGAAAGGAAAAGTATGTACAGCTTAATGTAACCAGAAAGGAAAAGTATGTACAGCATTATAGTAAGTCAGAGACAAGTGAATGACAAACCAGATGTCACAAAACAAGAGAAATCATTTTACAATCCTGTTCTATTGCTATGAAAATGGAAAATGCATGTAACAAGCTAGTTTGAAATCGAGCTTCTTTTGCAGTGTTAGACACTCCAAGACAACATGGCTGCTCTGTATTGTGTGTTTGTCTGTACTGTCTGTATATGTCTATGTACCTGTTGAGATGGAATGATTTGTGTTAAATCCTTTTCTGTACATACTGTTGGATCTATTGAAATGACAGGGTGACGACTTGTTGTGAAATTTATGCTCAAACTGTACTTTGTCCAGAAAGTAAGGTGTTCCTTTGCTCTCTGCAAGTATTTTATGAACGGAAACAAAACATATATTTATTTCATTTATTTTCAATTAGGTAACTATTTTGAGAAAGTAATTGTTCCGGTGTTTACGTTCATTTTGTAAATCTGTTGTTTAAGAAAAGTCAAAAAATAGTTAAATATTAAATGATGTACAGTATATTACAATAAAAGAATATCAGGTTCTTAACTCCATCAGGTTCTTAACTCCATCAGGTTCTTAACTCCATCCGGTTCTTAACTCCATCAGGTTCTTAACTCCATCAGGTTCTTAACTCCATCCGGTTCTTAACTCCATCAGGTTCTTAACTCCATCAGGTTCTTAACTCCATTGATGTAGATGTTTCTGCTACACCGGTCTCATATGATATCTACATGATCTTTTATGAACTGTTTTCTTTGATCAAGATCCGTATGTGTGAGTAGGGTTGCAAAATTCCGGGAACTTTCAATAAATTCCCTGGTTTTCTAGAAATCCTGGTTGGAAGTGTCTGGATTTCCAGCATATTCCCTCCTGATTCCGGGAATCCTCCAACCGGGAATTCGGGAAAACCAGGGAATATATTGAAAGTTCCAGGGATTTTGCAACTCTAATGCTGAGTGCTGATCTAGGATCAGGTCCCCCTGTCCTTTTAATCTTATTCATCATGATCTAAAATGCAAGACTGATCCTACTCAGATCCTTTATGACTTATTAATTAATTATTGGGATACAGTAAATCAATATACAGCAGGGTGGAGATGAGAGGTGATAAGTGTGTTGTAACACCTTTGGCAGTGGAGGCTGCTGAGGGGAGGACAGCTCACAATAATAGCTGGAACGGTGCGAATGGAATGGCATTGAACACGTAGAAACCATGTGTTTGATACCATTCCACTCATTCCGCTCCAGCCATTAGCACGAGCCCGTCCTCCCCAATTAAGGTGCCACCAACCTCATGTGACCTTTTGGACATTGTTTATCTGGTGTGGTAGTGTCTGTGCTGACGTATCTGAGCAGCTGACAGCCTGTCCATAAGTGTGATATTGATAACGGCTCACAGTTTTCTCTTCGTTCCCCTCTTATGTAACCTGCTCCAACAGTGGAGGAGCACCACGAGAACCCTGCAATGTCTGGGTCTGTGTGTGTTGGCATGCAAGCAGTTTTAGCCGAAATCTCTGATCACAGCAACTAAATCAGAAACAATAATTACTAATCTCCCTGGTCCATCAACATGATCCACAGAATGGAACAACACCACAACAACACATTATACTACAGTGTGTGACTTCTGTACCCATCTGTTCAATCTATTAGTTTAATGGAGCCTGTTGAAATTGATTATAAACAGCATCCACAGGATCAGATACACAACCCCTTTTTCAGATCAGTTCCATTATTCCAGCCCTAATCTTAGAGAAACCTAACCTCATCGAACCTAACAGCAAGCTAACGTTATAGTAACCTAAGAGTAATGAGCAAGACTCCACAGGAAAAGATGCGTGCCAATCAGGGATGCTAAACATAGTGGCCTGTCCTGGTATTCATGACTATATTCTCTAATGCATGTCACACAGCTGATACGATCACAGAATATAACAGGGAGTATCGGTTGACACACACGGCTCTCTAATGCTTCCGTGTCGGGCCATTCTGGCTAATGTACCTGGAAACCTGGTTGTCCCTGTCCCTGTCCTGGTGTTGTGTCTGGTCTCTGTCCTAAAAATACTGCCTCTGATGTATCAAAGGTGGCCATTAAAGGTGGACTCTGTCACTTACCTGCAACAGCGGCTTTGTGTGTCTGGCTTCTAGAATAGTAACTGATTCTGTGATCTTCCAGTATCACAGAAGGCCACTGCTTTCCAGAATGAAGTGTGTGTGTGTGTGTGTGTGTGTGTGTGTGTGTGTGTGTGAGATAATGTTTTATTGAATCCCTCTCTCTGCACCAGATCCCTTCTCATCCCTCTCATATCTCCCTTCTGTGAAAAAAAAAGATGAAGGGAGCGAGGCACAGGAGTTGAGCCACATTAAGAGAACATAAAGTACTGCCATCTGATCCTCCCATCCCACCCAGACACACACAACAAAACCACCTATTCCATCCAGCACCCTGTAATCTTTCAGTCTATGGGGAGATTACAGGGTCAAACATGACACTAAATCACCACACGTAAACACAAGCACAGTTTTTATATTTTAATAATACATTTTAATAATAAATATTTTGGTGTGCACCGGAAAATGAAATAACAATGGTCAATTTATATTATTTCTACAATACATAAAGTTTGGTCAAACAGGCAAGGTGACCACTCAGTTTAAGTTAAGTTTTAATGTCACGTGCACAAGTACAGTGAATTGCCTGTCTTGCAAGCTCTAAACCCAACAATGCAGTAATCAATAACAATGTAATTCTAAAAATAACATATGGTAGAACAAAAACACACAATAAATGAAAATAAGAATACGATAAAGTAAGTAAGCATACTAAATACAGGGTCAGTCATTTCCAGTACCATGCTTACAATGTGCAGGAATACTGGAGTGATGGAGGTAGATATGTACAGTGCATTCGGAAAGTATTCAGACTCCTTGACTTTTTCCACATTTTGTTACGTTACAGCCTTATTCTAAAATTGATTAAATTGTATTTTTCCCTCATCAATCTACACACAATACCCCATAATGACAAAGCAAAAACAGTTTTTTAGAAAATTCTGCTCCGTTCATCTTTCCCTCGATCCTGACTAGTCTCCCAGTCCCTGCCGCTGAAAAACATCCCCACAGCATGATGCTGCCACCACAATGCTTCACCGTAGTGATGGGGCCAGTTTTCCTCTAGACGTGACGCTTGGCATTCAGGCCAAAGAGTTCAATCTTGGTTTCATCAGACCAGAGAATCTTGTTTCTCATGGTCTGAGAGTCCTTTAGGTGCCTTTTGGCAAACTCCAAGCGGGTTGTCATGTGTCTTTTACTGAGGAGTGGCTTCTGTCGGGCTCCTCTACCATAAACACCTGATTGGTGGAGTGCTGCAGAGACGGTTGTCCTTCTGGAAGGTTCTCCCATCTCCACAGAGGAACTCTGGAGCTCTGTCAGAGTGACCATAGGGTTTTTGGTCACCTCCCTGACCAAGGCCCTTCTCCCCCGATTGCTCAGTTTGGCCAGGCAGCCAGCTCTAGGAAGAGTCTTGGTGGTTCCAAACTTCTTCCGTTTAAGAATGATGGAGGCCACTGTTCTTGGGGACCTTCAATGCTGCAGACATGTTTTGGTCCCCTTCCCCAGATCTGTTCCTCTGGAGCTCTGCGGACAATTTCTACAAACCTCATGGCTTGGTTTTTGCTCTGACATGCCCTGTCCACTGTGGGACCTTAAAAAGACAGGTGTGTGCCTTTCCTAATCATGTCCAATCAATTTAATTTACCACAGGTGGACTCCAATCAAGTTGTAGAAACATCTCAAGGATCATCAATGGAAACAGGATGCACCTGAGCTCAACTTCGAGTCTCATGATCCTTGAGATGTTTCTACAACTTGATTGGAGTCCACCTGTTAAATTGATTGGACATGATTAGGAAAGGCACACACCTGTCTTTTTAAGGTCCCACAGTGGACAGGGCATGTCAGAGCAAAAACCAAGCCATGAGGTTTGTAGAAATTGTCCGCAGAGCTCCAGAGGAACAGATCTGGGGAAGGGTTCCCCTCTCCACTGGGGTTCTCTGCCTCTAACCCTGTTGCAGGGGCTGAGTCACTGGCTTGCTGGTGCTCTTTCATGCCGTCCCTGGGAGGGGTGCGTCACTTGAGTGGGTTGAGTTACTGACGTGATCTTCCTGTCTGGGTTGGCGCCCCCCCCCTTGGTTTGTGCTGTGGTGGAGACCTCTGTGGGCTATACTCGGCCTTGTCTCAGGATTGTAAGTTGGTGGTTGGGGATATCCCTCTAGTGGTGCGGGGGCTGTGCTTTGGCGGAGTGGGTGGGGTTATATCCTTCCTGTTTGGCCCTGTCCGGGGGTTTCTTCGGATGGGGCCACAGTGTCTCCGGACCGCTCCTGTCTCAGCCTCCAGTATTTATGCTGCAGTAGTTTATGTGTCGAGGGGCTGGGGTTAGTTGGTTATACCTGGAGTACTTCTCCTGTCTTATCCAGTGTCCTGTGTGAATTTAAGTATGCTCTCTCTAATTCTCTCGTTCTCTCTTTCTCTCTGAGAACCTGAGCCCTAGGACCATACGTCAGGACTACCGGGCATGATGACACCTTGCTGTCCCCAGTCCGCCTGGCCTTGCTGCTATTCCAGTTTCAACTGTTCTGCCTGCGGCTACGAAACCCCTACCTGTCCCAGACCTGCTGTTTTCAACTCTTAATGATCGGCCATGAAAAGCCAACTGAGAGACCTGAGCCCTAGGACCATACGTCGGGACTACCGGCCGTGGTGACTCCTTGCTGTCCCCAGTCCGCCTGGCCTTGCTGCTATTCCAGTTTCAACTGTTCTGCCTGCGGTT